AAAAAACAGATGGAGAAAGATAAGTTTACCTGCCCCCAACTGCGTAAGTTCATATCTTTTACATTAGAGAAACCTACCCAATAATTCTAGCAGAGAATGAGAATAGAGATTGTCGTTCACAATTACCTTGAAATGCTCAAGAACAATGTGTGCTTCAACTAAGAAGTCCATCGACCCAACCGAGAAATTATGGGGGATATCATACCGTAGTAATAGATAATTAAGCGCAGGAGTATCTATCTTCAACTTGTAAGGGAACTCACAATTGAAGACCAACCTCTTCATAGTGGATGAAGATATGCAGTGGTATCCCATATTTTCGTCACATTGGATATAGTAAGCAACAGTGAACTCTTCAAGCACCGGACAACAGGAAATCAGGTTGTTGAGGGTGCCATCAAGGGTAACGCCCCCAAGATGAAGCCTCTTGAGGGCTGGTAAACACACGGTACCAATCTTTATCTTAATATAGAAAAGATCGAGCCTCAAATCAACTAGGGTTTTGGAGGTGCCACTATTCATCTTAATATCGAAAAGATTGAGCCTCAAATAAAAAAGGGGGCCTTCGTCGAAAAGGTGGATATCCTCAGAGCCATATCGCAAAGTAAGATCGAGAGTTTTCACGTTGCACGCAAAGGCGCTCTCGAGACGCGCCTCAAGTTCATGCTCGTCGAAGTAATACATATCGAGTCGAAGTGTGTTCACGCCGTGCGATTCACTTTGGGACAGAATCTTTGTCAACACGTCTACGAACTTTTCGTGATAGGGATTTGATTCCGGAAGTGAATACATAATAAATCTTAGTAGCTGGTACTCTTCGGTGAGTTGTATGTTAGGCGCATAGGTCCATAGACGCCTCCATCTTGCGGAGAGGGCGCTGGTGGAGACGGAGGTTTTCAAGGGCAGAAAAGAGAGGATGTGGGAGAGTATATCGTCGGGCAAGGCGCTGAGCCTGTCGATTGAGGCCATGAGAGGATGTAAAGGGAATTGGCGAGTTCGGGATTTGTTGGAGGAGCAATTATTGGCGGCTCAAGGTTGAAGACGGATGGCGAATGTGCAATTCATTGATGCAAAACTGGCTTTAATGCACCCAAAACCCATATCTTATTAACTGGTGAGGGTGAGGATTCCGTGCGTTTCGTAACTTAATCAAAACTTTATTTTAATAATATATTAGTCGCTAACTCATTTATATTAATATAAATAATATTTTAATATATATATTTATTTTTTAATATATATCTTTATTTTTTAATATAAAAAAATACATATTTTAGTTCATCATAATACTTAAGTATTATTTATTTAAAAATTTATTATCTTATAATGTCATTATTATTTATAACACTAATAGATGTAATATTTTTATATAATGATAAATATATATTGTATATTAATATTATTTATTGATATAATTATATTAAAAATATATTTTAATAAAATTTAATGTTTGTTAGAAATATGATTATATATAAGTTAAGATAAAATGGAATATAAAATTTAAAGTAATGTTTGTAAAATATATTTTAATAAAATTTAATGTTTGTCAAAAATATTACCCATCAGTATGAAATCTAAATTTTTAGGCGAGATTTTACTTTCTATTTAAAGTAAAATCTCTATTGTTATTTTATAGTAATGGATTTATATATTGATTTTTTAGATCGATTTAAAAAAAACCCTACTATTTGTGTTCGAAATCCCGAGTTATAGTCGAATCTATGTCCGATATACTAAGATTTGAAGAAAAAATTGAAATTTTAGTTTCTCTTTATTATTTTCTTAATTTTGTTTAAAAAAATCAAAGAGATTTTTTTGGATAATTTTTTTTCAAATGATTTGAAGGATTTATGTTCGAATTTCGGCAAGTATTGTTAAAGCTTTGTCGATACTACGATCTGACGAAAGTTTTTTAAATTTTTGTATTCTTTGTTTTGATTTCTTTTGTATGAAGACTGAAATCGGGTATGATGTGATATTGATTCAAATCGTTTACAGTGATCCGACGATAGAAATGAAATTATAAGCAGTTTTTTTTATTGTTTTTTTAACCTCAAAACAGTATACCAATTTCGAGTACAGATTTAACATTTGTAGTACATAATGCGCGAGTTGGTCCAGTTGATGCGAGAGCTTTAAAACAAAGGTCGGCCTTAGGAGACACCGGCTTTTGTCACCACAAAGGTAAGATATTCCATCACTGTGAATATATCCTGATTTCCCTCTGCAATTTGTTATTTAACCCCTCATCTTTGAAAATCTGGTAGATCTATTAGCCTCTGTTCATAATCCATTAAAACTTTTGATGCATGTTTAATTTTTATCTATGCAAATGGGAACAGGCCTTCTGAGGCTTTAGCTTGGGTCACCGACGATGTCCCTCTGAAATTTGTTAATTGAACCTTAGTTTGAAAGAATGGGACATATGTCGATAGGTTTATGTGATTTCAAACAAAAATTTAGTTTGCGCATAATTATACTATAACTTAAATCATAAATTCTTATATGAGATAGCCTACTCAACCATAAATTCATATATGAGACAACACTAGTGTTGATACCCGTGCGATGCACGGGGTGCAATACAAAAAATATTTATTATTGAAATACTGTAAAATTATTTAAGATAATATGAAATTATATACTCCACAATATAATATTAAGTAATAATATGACATTTATTTATTTATTATTATTGTTAATTTCTATTTTTGTATATTTTTTTGTAGTTTTTTATATATAAATTTTATTATTTATAATTTTATAAAATATTATAAATGTATAAGATCATATGATATTTGCATACAAATTATTTGTATCTACTTATAAAATTGTCGTTTATTACAGTCTTATAATTTTTTTAACAATTCATAATTTGCACATTGCTTGATAATCGGCCAACGTTTAACCCATAATATTTATCTTCCGCTAGAATTATTAAGTGCATTAAATGTTAAAAACTTTGATAAACAAACTTTAATTTTTAATGACTTTAATCCTTATGCAACACACAATTTTTTTATGGTTAAATATTTTATTTTTATGTTTCCATTTTTATTTATATTTATTTCTTTAATTCATTTTTTCAACCTATATAATGAGTTACATAGTATCTATTCGAATATTTTGATATATTATATATTTTCATGATTACCAAGTGCTATAATCTAAATTTTTATACATTCCTTTTTTATTAACTTATTTTTCATTTATAAAATAGTATATAAGAAAAAAATAAATATTTTTAAAAATTGGATAGTTTTTAATGTACATAGGTACTTCTAAGGTGGAATTTATAATTTTGAATTGCACCTGACCATCAAATTTTATTTTTATTAGTATTATTTAAATTTTCAATACTATTATTACTGCATGTGATATATTCAATGGAGATGTACATTTTTATAGTTAAATTGACTACATATTTGAAATTTTTATTAATATTTTAGATTATTTATTAAGTTATTATGATTTAAACATAGTTATTCTACTTATTTTATTAAATATTTTAAGTAGTTTTGAATAGTGAATATAATTAATTAAATTAATACCTACTGCCATAAATGATAATATATTTAATCAAATCAATTTTCATAATAATTTTTTGAATTATGCTAATAAATTACTATTAAATTAATAGAAGATCTTACTTAAAATATATCTAATAAATTTACAGTCAATATTTCAATTTAAGTCAATTTGTAGTTAATGAGTAATAGTCATTGTCTCATTGAGTGTATAAAAATTAATTATATTTTTTATGCATATGATTTGCTAATAAATAAATATTAATTAAATGACAAATATAAATGAAAAAATTTCTCGCCCAAAATCATGTCAATTATGACAATAAAGATTGGTCCATTATATAGATATAGGTATAGACATAGATATAGATATAGATTTATGGTAAAATTATCGGTTCGTATATTTATGGTATCATTGGGTATCATTATCTTAATTGGTGGTATATATATTTTTATGTATTATTAAGTATATATTTTTATGCATTATTAAATATCAGAACGATTCTCATACTTAAAATTGATTTTTTATTTTTAGAAAAATTGAAACAAAAATTTATTATTATTTTTATATAGATTTTTAACTTAAAATTCTCAATCAATAACTTTTAGGAACTTCAAAGGTAGCTGGATAGTAAGTCGCATAAATATTAATGTAGATTCCATATTAATTTGAATTATTAATTGGATACTAATTTAGTTAAGTTAATAGAAAGTGCAAATAGAAACACGGATCTAAAGTATTATTGACAAATACAAAAATAATTAAACTTATAATTATACAACCAAATGTAGAAATGTTGCCAATTATAGTCATTGCATATAATTTTTATTTAGCAATAAATTCCATCAACTCCCTCTTTATATGTACTAGTACAGTCCCCGTGCGATGCACGGAGGTTTATTATCTCGGTCTCTTTTATAAAGCAATGTTCAGTTAAAATTCAAAATACTTCCTAAATGAAAGATCATTCCATTAATAATAAATAAATTAATAAATACAATGATAATAAAATCTATATATTATTGAACACTTCCTTATATACAACGTTCATGGATTGATTCTTTGGCACGTCATCGTCGCCACAAATTAGGACTTTCAAACCATTTTCTGTTTGTGACACGGGAGACAGCAACATACAATTGGTCATGACTAAACACTGGTTTCTTAAGAAATAAGCCCACATGCGACAATGATTGTTCCTGACTTTTATTTATAGTCATGGCGTAAGAAAACATAATGGGAAACAATCAATCCAATAACATCTACAAAAATGTAAGAAAATGTATCATATTGAAATGTATAACATATAAAATTATTACAGATTTTAAATTTTAAAAAAATCGAAATAAGAAATAAACAAAAAAATTATAACGTACCAAACAACATGGCTTCATCAATGTTACGAACATCCATTAAAGTTAGAAAGTTCCTAAAGTCAAAACGATACATAGGAAAATCACCCCTCTATTTGATAATCACCCCTCCATTTGATAATCTTTGTTTGACCATTGATAATGATCCTCCTTTTTCCTATCGTCGATTTATGGATGCCAATATTGCTTTCCACTTGATAGTTTGTCAAGATATAAGCGCCACCTTCTTCAATATCACCGATGATTTTTTGGATATTGACAGGTCGAATTATGTCAGTAATTCGTCCTCCCTAAAACATTTCATAATGAATAATTCAATAAATAAATTATAAAAGATGTTGCATAAAATGATGCATTTAAATAATAATAAAAGAATATATTACCTCAAAATCATGAAAGATAATCTCAAGAACATTTCGGTAATTGCGTACGACTTCAACTCGTTGGAACATCCTAATTATGCGTAGCTTGATTGGTGGCTTATTAGATCTTTTGATATCCTTGATTACTCCGAAATTCGAAGTCATTTTCAATGGTGATGTAAAAGCTTGTAGAAAAAATTATTTTGTGGGATGTATTGGATGTCTAATACTTTTTGTTCAACGTTGGTGATGTTTACATAGTCATGTGTATGTGTCATGTGTTTGGGAAATAAAAAAATATTTACGTAAGGTACTTAATATGATCCAATCCGATTTTTTTTATTATGATTATGATTGACTTCTAAAAATATGTATTATCGGTTTTGTTAAAAAAAAATGTGGAACGTGATTCACTTGTGTGGGGCGAACGAATATTTAGAAGATTATGTAGCCAAAAATAATGGAGTTTGTTACAATGAAATTTGGTAAGACTTTTTGGATAGATTGAAAAATAATATTTTTATTTTGATTTGGACAAATCCAAAACTTTAATTTACGAAATTATAATCTTTAATTTTTTGAAACGTGTAAAATTTTCTAAGATAACTTTTATAAAACAAAATGTAATCAAATCATAATTGATTTTTATGCCTCAATATTCCAAAAATCAAACCTTACAAATATGGTATGATTATTTACTATTAATATTTTATTTTTTCAAACGTCTGATTCTCTTAATTTATATGAAACAAAGTTCAATCAAATTAAAATTGTTTTTTATGTCCACACTAAAACTTTATCAATATGATATGTTTATTTTTATTTTATTTTTTTCAAATCCACAACTCAAATTTTCGAGAGAGAGAAAAAAAAAGGAAACAAACTCTTATCAAACCTTATCAAATTTTCGAGAGAGGAAAAAAAAATTGAAAACAAAATCTTATCAAACCTTATCAATAATGAAGATACGTGTTTCCAAGAAAAGCTAACAAAATCCCGTGGTTACCAAAATCCTATCAAATTAGTTAACAAAATCCCATTAAATTGGTTAACAATATTGGAACGCATTTTGTTAGGAAAGATTTACGTAATTTATCTATCTAATTAATATCATATTAACGTGTGGGTCCAGTGATATTAATTTAGTATAGCATCCATTATCTCGGAATAATTTTTTGTTTGATTTACAACATTAACTTGAATGGAAAAAAATCTGTAATTGTTGAGATATCTCAATTCAAAATCTCAATTTTTTGGCATAAGAATCTTCAAATTTGTTACCAATAAAAATAGATTCCTATGGGATTAATACTTAAAATGAATTAAATTTTTGTATAAGAATCTCCAAATTTGTTACCATAAGAATCTTCAATTTGTTACCATAAGAATCCCATTAAAATCTCCTATGGATTGGAGTTTATCAATATTTAGTATAGCATCCATTATTCTCGGAATAATTTTTTGTTTGATTTACAACATGAATTTGAAGGGGAAAAAATCCGAAATTGTTAGGATATCTCAATTCAAAATCTCAATTTTTTGGCATAAGAATCTCCAATTTGTTACGATAAGAATCCCATAGAAATCTCCTATGGGATTGGAGTATATAAACATTTGGTATAACATCCATTATTTTTGGAATAATTTATTGTTTGATTTACAACATTAATTTGAATGGGAAAAAAATCCGTAATTGTTGGAATATCTCAATTTTAAATCTCAATTTTTTGACATGACAATCTTCAAATTTGTTACCAATAAAAGTAGATTCCTATGGGATTATTAAATTTTAGTATAGGAATCTTCAAATTTGTTACCATAAAAATCTCCAATTTTTTTGGGATATCTCAATTAAATTTGTTACCCTAAAAATCTACAAATTTGTTACCATAAAAATCTCATTTTTTTTAGTACATGTGTTTTTTCCGAAATTTCCACTAATAGTAAGTCAAACCATTTATTTTTTTAGTCAAATTTACTATAAAAGTATTTTTCCAACAACCTCTTTATATTACTATAGATATAGATAATTATTAGGCAGGTAGACCTCTCATACTTTATTAACCAAAGTGTACTTTTATACTATGCATATCCACCGACAATATATTACATGTGTATATTTTGTGATTACTCCTTCATTAATAGAAAAGCCAAATGACGTGAATTTAAATAAACAAAAATCAGCTTATAACCAACTCCATCAATCTAGTAATTAGTTGAACTTTTTCTTTGTTCTTTACCCTGAAAGCTTCAAGTGCTTCGTTGTACTCTCGTTCCTGTGATAACAAATTAAAGGTACATAAATTCAAAAGATAACCCTTCAGATGGAAATTTGGTTCATATTTTTTCCATATATCGGATCAAATGCCGGAACTTTTAAGATTGAGGGAAGTTGCTGGGGCGGGTAGTCCCACCGGATGTCTGAATAAAAGATAACAAATAAGCCAGAAGCAGTATAATCAAGAAAAGCAGATCTTTGCTACAATCCTTCTTCCAATACAAACCAAATTACAGAGCAACACATTAATTCATGCTCAAAACATGCATTTCATAAAACTAACTCTACATTACTTAGGATGGCCAAATTGAAGAACTCTGAGATAATCTATGTATAAAAAACAAAGTTTAACCAAAGAGCCCAAATGAAGATGACGATGATTCACCTTATCCCTAGCTGCAAATTTAGCATAAGCTCGTAATTCCTGTGAATTGGTCGGTTTAGTTATCATCCGATCCCGACTTCTACACACTCTTTCGCTTGGACCACGGGTATTGCTGTGAATGTGCAGTTGGCCCTTCTCCTTCAACACCTTCTCTCTCGGCCAAAAGAATTGCTACTCTTCGACTTAACCATGCCGGCTACCTCTTCTTTCTGGCCCTCACCCACCGGCAATGTCCTCGGCTGCAAATTCAATTTCGGTTGGCCGCCCTTGTCATAGTAGATCATCACACGTCACCAAGTATAACCTATTCACATGGTCGTCTTCATATACATGCAGGGGCAGCAGGATTACACAAATTAGCGCTTACGTTTTCTCTCTTTTGTTCTGTTTAGTTAATCACTTTAGTATTTCAACAGTGCCGTATTGTACTTAGTCAAACGGCGTCATATTGTCTAGTTGAACAGCATCGTTCTGTTGTATTTCAAATTTGAATTGCGCGGCCCTAATAATGTACACTGGAGATATCAGATTTTGGTTGAATGAATGAAAAATCAGATTTAAGATATTTTAGCCTGAGTTTCTACATGGTATCTAGAACCAGTAAAATTCCTTGAGTTTTAGATCTACAATGGCGATGCATAGAGGGTACAATGAAGCCTAGCCGGCACTCAATGCAAGAGGAGGTATAATAACTGATAACTTGATAACTTAACTCCTGAAGATAATTCACGGTTCTAATCATCCTGGGTTGCAGCTCGTCTCACATCTACTGAATGGATCAAATTTTATGGCTTGGAAGAGATCAATGATGATAACTCTTGGTGTGAAGACGAAGCTTGGATTTATTGATGGATCAGATGAGCCGCAACGTGTTGGAGATTCGTAATATGAAAAATGGAAAAAGGTAGATTGGATGGTAATTTCGTGGATCCTAAACTCATTATTTTGTTGATCATTTATAGACGCTGAATCTGCTGGGAGCTGTGGGAAGAAATCTGTCAAAGATTTTGACAAAAAGACGGTCCTTTGATTTATCAGCTGCCGAACTTAAAACAAGGAAGTGACTCAATAATGGTGTATTTTAATAAATTGAAGAAGATTGGGGATGAGTATAGCTGTCCGGTACCACAATTTGTTTGCAAATGTGAAAATGGCAAAAGGACGGAGGAACAAAACTTGCAAAATAGATTGATGCAATTTTTTATGGGATTTGATATGAGACGAAACCCAGCGTGGACTAAGTTCGAATTAGCCTTTCCAGGCAAGTTTATAACAGTGACATCATTGAGCTCACGGCTATGATTTTCTTGGCTCGAACAATGAACATGTAGAGATAGACTTTTCCCGCAAAGAAATGGGAAAAAAAAAATTCGTAATGAAAAATGACAATTCTCCACTGGCAAACACAGTTGCAGCCAAAAAAAAAAAAGTCGAAGACATAAATAAATGAGTTATTTACGAGGACAAAAGGCAAAATTTATGAAAGGACCCTCGGCCGTGGAGTGTTAGCATTACGAGACAATACTTAGATCATCTCAAAAACCAAAATCTTCATCGTCTGATTCTAGATATTCGTGGAAGACAATCTCACACGTCTCAGATCCTCGACCAAATGATGATATTCTCCCGATCGATTCTGCTAAGCAGTGTAGTTCCATCCTCTCCAGGACTTCAGCATTCTTTAAGAGATATCTAACCATGTCGAGTTCATTCTCTGTACCTTTCAATTCATGAATTTGTACTATTTTTAGATGTGATGACAGGCAATTAGGCACATGGAGAGGAGCCGCCAACCAGCGCTTTCGATTATTATAAGTCTGACAGTGAAACAGAGATATAAACATGGAAATGTGAACAAGTATAAAATTCTGACAGGAGATGAATAAAAGGAAATGCATACCTTACGGATAGTAAGGACTTTAAGTTTATCAGCCTTCTCTAGGAAATATGTGAGGAACCACCAATCGACTTTCAGTTCGAGTTCTGTTAGATTGTGAAGCTTCATGATTGCATTAGCCATAGGCAACTGGAGGGGCTCCATCTCCCATTGAGGTTCAGAATATTGTATGACCTGATGACGAAACAAAAAGAAAACAAATGCAGAACAAGGCCGGGCCATCAATCACATATAACCATACAAGTTGAAAATACGGACAAAAGAATCGGACTAACATTAAGGACTTCAAGCTTGTTAGCCGCCTTCTCCACAAAATATGAGATGAAACGGCCGTCACCTTCCACCGTGAGTTTGGCTAAATTGTGAAACTTTATGTTCAAATAGACAGGGGTTAAGTCAGGAACCTGCAGGAAAACAAAGATTACAAAAGAAACACAATAAAAAAAAAAAGAAAGAAAGCAAAAAGAGATGGAGAACGATTAAGTTTACCTTCCCCCAAGTGCTTAAGTTCATATTTTTTACATTAGAGAACCTACCCATAAATTCTACCAGAGAACGGGAATAAAGATCGTCGTTCACAATTGGCTTGACACGATCAACAACAAAAACAATACGTGCTTCAATCAAGGAGTCCATCGACCCAAGCGAGAAATTATCTGGCTTAATATAATATAAAGAAAGATATTCAAGAGCGGGAGTATCTATCTTCAACTTGTAAGGGAACTTACACCTGAGGTCCAACCTCTTCATAGCGGGAGAAGATATGCACTGGCATACCACAGTTTGGTCAACATAGTTAACAACAGTGAAATCTTCAAGCACCGGACAACAGGAAATCAGGTTTTCCAGGGAGCCATCAAGGGTGACGCCCTCAAGATGAAGCCTCTTGAGGGCTGGTAAACACACGGTGCTATTCTTTATCTTAATATCCGAAAATTTGAGCCTCAAATCAACTAGGGTTTTGGAGGTGCCATTCTTCATCTTAATATCGAAAAGATTGAGCCTCAAATCAACACGGGGGGTTTTGGGGGTGGATTCGAAAAGCTCGAATTCTATACAGTCATACTGCAAAGTAAGATCGAGAGTTTTCACGTTGCACGCAAAGGCACTCCCGAGACACGCCTCAAGTTCATGCTCGTCGTCGTAGCAATACATATCGAGTCGAAGTGTGTTCACTCTGTGCGATTCACATTGGGACAGAATCTTTGTCAGCACTTCTACGAACTTTCTATGACGGGAAAATGAAATCAAATTCGATTTGTCTTCGGTGAGTTGTATGTCAGGGGCATAAGCCCATAGACGCCTCCATCTTGCGGCGAGGGCGCGGGTGGCGACGGAGGTTTTGAAGGGGAGAAAAGAGAGGACGTAAGAGATGATATCGTCGGGCAAGGCGCTGAGCCTGTCGATTGAGGCCATGAGAGGATGAAAGGGAAATTGGCGGCTCAAGGTTGAAGACGGATGGCGAAAGTGGAAGTCCTTGATGAATGATGCGAAAGCGGCTTTAATACACCAAAACCCATCTATTAATAAATAAACTAGTTCGAACGGACAATGCACGACAAAATAAGGGAAATTTTTTTTAACCTCTCATTTTTTTTGAATTTGCCATATATAAACTTTTTTTTTTTAATGTGTCTACCAATGTAATCGAAACTGACAATTTGTCTCATCGATTAAAAACTCTAATATGACACCAAAGAGATTTTAACTCAATTAAAAATAAATTTTAAATTAATTTTTAAAATTGAGTTAGGACTTTTAAAGCCCATGACGAGACGAATAAAATGAGATATGGTTTGTCGATTTCTGAAAATTAATACCTCTAAAATCGTTCTACAAAGATAGTAGGAGCACGTATGTTATAGAAAAAATTTTAATTCAGGTTTTCGGATAATCAAGATATTCGATTTTCGATTGGAAGGTGTCATTTGAAAGCTTGAAGGATGATTTTTCTATCGAAGTAAAATCGTATGAAAATCCAACGGCCAGACTTGAGTTAGTAACCTATAAAAAGCTACCTATTGATTAGTAGTTGTCTAAATACTTATCAAAATCCGACCATTGGATTTTAATAAGATTTACGCGTTATAAGATTTGTCCTAGTAGCTTTCAAATGACACCTCCCAATTGAAAATCAGATATCTTGATTATCAAAAAACTTAAATTGAAATTTTTTCTATACACACGTGCTTCTACTATCTTCGTGGATCGATTATAGAGGTATCAATTTTCAGAATTCGACAAATCATATCTCATTTTGTTCGTCTCGTCATGGGCTTTAAAATCCCTAAATCAATTTTGAAGATTAATATAAAATTTATCATTAATTGAGTTAAAAACTCTTTTGTGCCATATTAGGGTTTTTAATAGAGGAAGCAAGTTGTCAGTTTCGATTACATTGGGAGGCAAATTGTCGAAAAAAAGTTTTTATAGCAAACTCAAAAAAAATGCATACTTTTGGAGGATAAAAAAAATTTTCCCAAAAAATAATCTTATCGTAGTTATGATGGAAGAAAGAGATATTAAAATAATTTATAACATTAATTTTATAAATTAAATAATGTGCAACATGAGTATGATTTATTCTTTTTTTTTTTGTGATTAAATTACACAATTCAAAATTCTATATAAAAATAAAAAATAAAAATTATATTAGATAATATTTATTTAGCGACATTGATAAATTTCAAGTTGCAGTGGAAAGTCATAGAATTATATTTATTTTATGTTGGAAAATCATTATTTGTGGGCTACATAAATTTCAACTTGGGGCATAAAAGTCAACGAGTACAATTGTTCAATGAGTAATATTTATTTCTTTTTTCTAAAAATTTTCCGTCATTACTCAAAGGAATGACAGTGATTTTAGATATTACTTACTGTAAATGATAATTAAAAATTATATTATTTAATTTAAATAAAACAAACTTAAATATTATGTGCATTAATGATAATTAAAATTTATATGATTTTAATTAGAAAATGCACACCAAAAGAGATGATCCAATTATAAAGAAAAATGTGAGTATTTTTACACTACTACTAATTCGTCTACAACTCTTAAAAATTAGTATAATGCTTTTTTATATGTCCTTCCAAACGATATGAAGTAAATACAGATTAAAATAAAAATTAATCTAGTCATAGTTTCTTTAGTATTGTCTAATTTTTTAGAAAAAATATTTAATAAATACATAAATTAAAAAATCTATATATTTATACAAATAACATCTTTATAAAAATCGACACTTTACTCCCACTTAGGCTATGTTTGATAGACCAATAAGCTAGCTTATAGCTTATTCGGTTAGTTTATAAGCTTCCTGTTTTCAAATAAGTTTTGTTTGGTAGGATGGACTTTTTTAAACAGTTCGAGCTTATTTGATAAGCTTCTTTAGGTAGCTTTTTTAATAAGCTCATTGAAATTTTTATTTCAGCTAGCTTATCAGCTAGTTTATCAAACACTTTTATCATATAAGTTAAGTTTTCAGCTATAAATCATAAGCTATAAGCTATAAGCTCAAAAATTACTGATAAGTTATAGACTAGTTTATCAGGTGTCAGCTAACTTATCAACTAATTTTACCAAATATAGCCTTAAATTATAAAAGTGCAGACGCTTAGGTGACAAAATTAAAATGAAAAATTAGATTTTCACATGATCAAACCTCGCACCTTCTGCTAGGAAACAGACGCATCCACTAAGCTACACGCGCTGCTTAGAACATCTCCAATGTTCTAATATTGTTATAGAATAAATTTTGACAAGTGTCTATAAATCAAATGGATTATGATCCATGTAGAAAAATGTTAACTTTAAAAATATGATTTTAAAAAAACAACAAAAATGAAATTAAAATAATTTGATAAATCACAATCAAATTAAATAAGATAAATTTAATAAAATAACAAAATTTAATATGAACAAATAAAAAATACCAAAAAAATTTCAAAAAATCAAGTCCTACAATGAAATTTTCCACTGTAATTCTCTTGGCACAAACAATGAAAAAATGTATAGATAGATGTTTCCCGTAAAGAAATGGGAAGAAGACCATTTTCTAATGAAAAATGGCCATTTCCATGGGAGAAAAAAATCGTCATATTTAAAATGTAAAATCCAACAGTAAATATTACAATGGTTCATTTCCAATTTCCAAATTCATTCTGGATGGTTGTGCCATTTAATTTTATCTTATCTTTTAATAAAACTAGTATTCGACTTTGTGCATTTGCACAGATGTAAATAAAATTAAATATTATAAGTTATATTTATGTATATAATATAAAAATTATAAGTTATATAATTGTATTAATTTCAAACATATAGTATTATAAGTTATATTTATGTATATAATATTAAAATTATAAATTATATAATAGTATTATATTTTAAAATTTGATCATTGGTTAAAATAAATAGTACACACGATTTGATTGTATATGAATCACTATATTGATTGCATAAAATGTAATAAATATATACTTTTTATAATTTTGAGTGATCATGACCAATTAATTAGCTGAAAAATATTACATTTATTATAACAATTGCTTATGTGATTTTAAGAAATTTTACTATGACTTGAAAAAATTAAATTAATATTAAACAACATCTTCATCATATAAAAAAATATCGATTTTAATGTAAAATATAATTTTATGTAACTTTCATATATTATTTAGTATAAAATATAATTACTAATTTTAATATTAACTATTATATTATTCAATAAAAAATATAATTATTAATCAATTAACATAAAATATAATGGTTTTTGTCTTAATTAATCCAAAAAAATGTAATGAAATATTTTTTTATTAATGAGATTGGGTGTATTAATGCCACATAAATAAAATTTATTAGGTTTTATTAATGATTTGCCACATAGGTAAAATTTATTAAGTTTTATTTATTAGGTAAAATTTATTGCTTAGCTAGCAATTATATATATATATAGACTACTGACAAGACACGCATACGCATGAATAAATGAGAGTGATATACCAAGACCAAATTAAGGCAACTATATTTATCAAAAGACCCTCAGCCGTGGAGTGTTAGCATGACGAGGCATACTTAGATCGTGTCAAAAACCTAAGTCAGTCATCGTCCGATACCAGATATTCGTTGAAGACAATCTCACACTTCTCAGATCCTCGATCAAATGATGAAATTCTCCCAATCGATTCTGCCAGACAATCTATTTCCATCCTCTCGAGGACTTTAGCATTCTTCAACAGATATCTAACCATGTCGAGTTCATGCTCTGTGCCATCCAATTCATGAATTTGTACTATTTTAAGATGTGATGACAGGCAATTAGGCACTTCGAGGGGCGCCGTCAACCAGCGTTTTCGTTCATGCTTATGATCAACCTGAAAATGAAACAGAAAGGTAAACAAATGCCAGTAACCAGCTCGCCTCATCAATTGTAAATAAAAAGGAAATGCTTACTTACATTGCGGATAATAAGGACTTTAAGTTTGTCAGCCTTCTCTAGGAAATATGTTAGGAACCACCAATCGACTTGCAGTTCGAGTTTTATTAAATTGTGAAGCTTCATGATTGAATTAGCCATAGGCAACTGGAGGGTTTCCATCTCGCATTCCGGTTCCGGATAGTGTATGACCTGATGGTGAAACAAAATGAAAACAAATGCAGAACAAGGCCGGACCATCAATCACATATAATCATACAAGTTGAAAATACCGACAAAAGAATCGGACTAACATTAAGGAGTTCAAGCTTGTTAGCCGCCTTCTCCACAAAATAAGAGATGAAACGCGAATCACCTTTCACCGTAAGTTTGGCTAAATTGTGAAACTTTATGTTCAAATGGTCAGGGGTCAAGTCACGAACCTGCAGGAAAACAAAGATTACAAAAAGAAATAAAAAGAGTGGAAAAAGAAAAAGAAAAAGCAAAAGGAGATGCAGAAAAAACAAGTCTTACCTCCCCCCAACCCCGAGGCCAAGAACATAAGCTCATTTCTTTTACATTAGAGAACCTACCCAAAAATTCTACGAGGGAACAAAGAGCGCCGTTCGCATTCAGGGTGCCTTGATAAACAAAAATTTTTGCTTCAATCAAGGAGTCGATGACCGAGAAATCATGGGGGATATCATATTCTAGTAATAGATAATCAAGCGCAGGAGTATCTATCTTCAACTTGTAAGGGAAGTCAGAATGGAGGACCAACCTCTTCATAGTGGACGAAGAAATGCAACGGGATTCCACATCTTCGTAACATCCGATATAGGATAACTCTTCAAGCACTGGACAACCGGAAATCAGGTTTTCGAGGGAGCCATCTTCAAGGCTAACAGTAGTAATATGAAGCCTCTTGAGGGCTGGTAAACACACGGTGACATTCTTCATCTTAAAAGTAAAACGACTGAGCTTCAAATCAACTAA